ATAAATAATAGAAATTAATATATATATATATAAAAATATACATTTGTATATCCAAAGTCAAAGATATAAACTTGAGAGACAAGTCATTCCTCTTGTTTGCTCCGCGAGGAACGCCTTTCGAGTTTCCATGCGGTCCCTTACGTAAGTCGAGATATTATTACAGCCGTCAATTCGCAAAAGGAACACCGGCGAAAGTTAGCAGAATTTATCTTCCTCTTCTTCCACTTTCGTAAGAAGCATTCTCGCAAATGAAAGAGATCCTTTTGTAATAAAAAAAGAACAAGAAGATAGACGCGTGGCGCCAGCGACACAAACTTCGGCTTAACGATGTTGGCCAAGGCAGAAGCCAAGAAACAGAAAAAGAAAAATAAAAGAAAAGAAAAAAGGTAAGAAAAGAAAAATAAAATAAAAAAAAAAAAAAAAAGAAAAAAAAATAAAAGGCAAATTCATGAAGACGAAAGACAAAGTAAGCAGAATAATGATCGAATATTCTAGCCTTTTTTCTCTTTCTTTTCTCTTTTTTTTCTTTTTTTACCAAAACGAACTAAATTTATCAGAACAAATTCACAAAATCGAGAAGTAAAGCCAATAATTTATTTTTTATATTCAAACAAGAAGAATATGCATAATACTGTACATACACATTTATATACATAACGTAAGTATACAAATTTTTGTCTTTTTTGTCGAAAATAACCGTCATTATTTGAAATATTAAACAATATTTTTAATCGATGGATGATATAGGGAACATCACAATTTTTCCCTTGAACACAATTTTAGCATAAGCGAAACTTTCCGTGAAGTATTATATCGCAGGCGATAATCGATTTTGCCATTCTCACTGAATATTCAAAAGTAGAAAATAACGTTAACCTTACAAAAAATTCATAAAAACCGGACTGATCGTATATACGCGGGAGTTTATGTGTATGCACGCGATGAGGTATATATCTGTTATTATTATAATTATGAAATACATGCGACAACGACATTAAAACTAACCGGTCTTTTTCTTCGCGTTTGACGAAAAATCGAAATATTTATTTTATATCGCGAACGAAAGAAATGTTATACGTATGAGAAAGAAAGAAAAAAATTCGCTATGGACACGAATTATGCGATAACAAAGCTTGCAAAAAAAGACATTTCTAATCAGTATATTTTCAGATAACAGATAATACGAGATAAGAAAGAAAAAACAAAGATCGATAAACAAAGATCGATAACGTATAATCATTATCTAATTTCCTAAGTAAATAAGAAAGGAAAAATGAAGGTTCGAAATCAATTATCGTATTTTGATATAGTATCGTCAACGAACAAACAAACAAAAGAGAAAGAGAGAGAGAGAGATAGAATTGAGAGAAAGAAATTGTCGTTAAATATTGTAACCACATATTAATATTACGTTTGATAATTATATCCATTTTAAGTAGCTTGATCTATGAATTTTTTTTTTTTTCGATATGAACATTGATGCAGTGATCATTGTCAATGTTTCTCGGTAACCTTTGTAGGAATATTTATAATTTATATTTCCGAAAATCCTGTATTGTTCATAAACACGACAATCAGACTTGTACGCGTGATGAAATGAATCTTTGCGATACTAAATCTAGTTCTGAAAAATGAGACGGTTTTGTCTCGTTGCGAGTACATTGTCATTGGACGTTGAAAAAGTGTGGACATGTTCACGATTTAAAGATTGAATGCAATATTTACACGTCATTACGGTATCCAAATTAAATTATTGATGTTCTTGAGTAAATCTTTTTGAAATCATTTTAATACCATCAATCGATTATAAATTCCTGTATGAAAAGCCGAATGGATTGTTTGAAAATTTCTTATGTATTTCTCGCTTGATAAGCGCTGTCATTGGCATTGAAATTTGTATAAGGTATGCTTAGTTCAGTTGACCTCAGAAAATTTCTAACAGACATCTCATTACTTGTAGATGCGTTGACTGCTTGTCAACATCATCGATCATCGATAAAAGCAGTTGGTACTGTTGATATTAACGCAACTTCATTTTTTAACTTGCTTTTTGGCGACCTCGATAATTCCTTCGACGCTCTAGGATACACTTTTTAATTTAAAATACACTAGGGAGTTTTTCTGTTTTATTTTTTTTTTTTCTTTTTTCTTTTTTCTTTTTGATAGAAGGAATTTTTAAGATGTCTTTCATGCTATCTTTCACAGAATCCTTTTACGCGTTCTGTATATTTATTTTTTTTTTCAACATTGTTTTAATTCTATCAATTAATTACACTTGAAATTAATAAATCATAAATAAAAAATTACACAATAATAATTATAACAGGAAATGTATAATGCGTTATTAAACAAAGTATACGAGAAAGAAATACGTCTAAACTCAATTTACTGTCTCTGTCACAGTAGAAACGAATTTGGAAAAAAACGAAAATGTGAAACATTCTTGCCCTCGCTTTACTAAACGATGACTGACGGGAGGATAAGAGGTAAGTAAACAACTTCCTTCTGTTTTTAAATGCTGATTATCACTGGTAAACGTCATATGAGATGGAATTGTGAAACTAAGGGTATTCACTATACCGAATAGTGGAACTTCTCTGCCCGTTTCACTTTTCGTTTCACTCCAATTCCTAATAGTTACAACTCTCACTACTGTGTTCTAAGAAGTTTTATTACAAAAAGAACGGATGTTTAGATATTATTTACTATCATTATTTGAATTTCGTAGGAAGGAAGGAAAAGAAAATGAATGTTCGAAATCAATTATCGCGTTCGTCAACGAACGAACGAACGAACGAACGATGAAAAATTTCGCAATAACGCAAAGAGAGAGACAAAGAGAAAGAGAAAGAGAAAGAGAGAACAAAAAAATAATGTCCGGAATCAATTATAGCATTTCGTCAACGAACAAACGAATGGTAAAAAATTTTGCAAGCACAGATAAGAGAGAAAACAAAACAAAAAATTGATTGATGTTCACATATATTCTACGATCATTATTTGAAATTTGTAAGGAAAAAAGTAAAAGTGTGAAAAAAAGAAAAGAGTAATAGAAAAAAATGAATGTTTGAAATCAATTATAGCACTTCGTCAACGAACGAACAAACGATGAAAAGATCTTGCAGCGACGCAGATAGAATGAAAAAATGATCGATAAGCAGATATTTCTTACTATAATTATTTCTATTTCATAATAAGAAAAAAAAAAAAAGAAAAAATGGACGTTCGAAATCAATTAACTGGGACCATCAATAAACAAACGAATAAACGAACGAAGAGATCGTACAGCAAAGTTGAAAAAAGAAAAAAAAAGTCGATATGCAGATATTGTTTACGACCATTATTTGAATTTCGTAATAAGGAAAAAAGAAAAAAAAATGTTCGAAAACAATTTTCGTGTTTTGTCAACGAACGAACGCAGAGAGAGAGAGAGAGAGAGAGAGAGAGAGAACAAAAGAAAAAAAGATCAATATTCAGATGTTGTTTACGATCATTATTTGAATTTCACGTTTGGTAAACGAAGTAATGAACTAACGAACGAACGGTGAAAGATTTTACAGCGATGAAGATAAAAGAAAATAAAAATAAAAAAAAATTATTTAAATTTCGAAATAAGAAAAAAAAACAAAGAAAAAATAAACGTCCGAAATTAATTAATTAATTATTAATTAATTAATTTTCACGTTTCATCAACTCGAACGAACATACATACAGTGAAAGATCATGCAACAACAATATATATAAAAAAGAGAACAAAAAATAAAGATCGATGTTCATATATAGTTTACGATCATTCGTTGAATTTCGAAAGAAGGAAGGAAAAAATAAATGTTCGAAATCAATTGTCGCGTTTATCAACGAACAAATGAACGAATGAACGAACGAAGAAAGACCTCGCGGCGACGCAGAAATGAGAGAGAAAAGAAAAAAAAAAAAGAAACGAGACTGGCCGATTGGCCGGAGATTGATCGACAAATGGAGTGAGCAAACGTCATCATATACTTACATACATATATATTTATACATATTATATATACACAAACGTAACATATATATATATACATACATACATATATACATACATCATACGTATATACATACGTATATACCAAAAGTGTACGAGAACGATGATAAGAGTAGAAATCTCGTGCTCGTTTCAATAGTGGAAGAAAGAAGAGCACGAAAATAGCTTTTGGACGACTTGCGTTTCGAGGCGACAACGAACAGCGAACACGTAGCGTAGTATAGACGGTTCCAAAATCTTGAAAGAGCGTAAGCGAGGGATTAACGAGTGCAAGAGAGAAAGGAAGATAAAAATGGGAGTAAGAGATAGAGATAGAGAGAGAGAGAGAGGGGGAGAGAGAATAAAGGGAGAAAAGATCAGTCAGGCAGAAAAGGAGGCAGAATGTACGAACGAACGAACGAACGAACAAACGAATGAACGAACGAATGAGTAAAGAGTAGAAAGAGAAAAGAGAAAAACAGTTAGTAAAAGCGAGCGTAAAAGAGTGAGAAAGAAATATAGAGATAGATAGAAAGAAAGAGAGAGAGAGAGAGAGAGAGAGTGAGAGAGTGAGAGAGAGAAAGAAAGAGAGATAGTTTGTAAAAGCGAGCGTAAGAGAGTGAGAAAGAGAGGTAGAAAAAGAAAGAAAGAGAGAGAGGGCGGAAGAAGACCATTGCGAGTCCACATTGGGGTGACCCTAGCGGCGATGTTCGGCCGGACGAAGTTAATTCGTGGCCCCGTCGGTCGTCGAGCGGTAGTAGTGAGATTCGATTTTATCTCATAGAGAAATAGAAGAAGAGATAAATATTTATTCGTTACTTAATTTTTGTTTTTGTTTTTTTCTTTTCTTTTTTTTTTTTTTTTTTATTTCTTCCTCCCCCTTTTTTCGTTATCTTTTTTCTTTTTCTTTATTTTTTCTTTTCTTTTTTTTTTTTGTTTATGTTCTTTCCTTATTTCTTTTTTTTTCTTTTTTTTTTTTCTCTTTTTTTTTCCTTACCTGGCAAAGCGTAGGCAGCCGCAGAAAGAGAGAGCAGGGCCACGACGACGAGGAGGCGGCGTAACGCGACGCTTCGTCCCCTTCGCATTTTTCGACTTCCCAAGCGGAACACCACCGTGTCGTCGTTTTTCGTCCCTTTTCTTGCTTATTTACTTCTACTTTTTCTCCACTGTGTGTTTGCGTATCTCACCTCTCCTCTTCACAATCTCACTCTTTCTCTGTCTCTCTCTCTCTCTCTCTCTCTCTCTCTCTCGTATGTGTGTATGTGTAAACGTGCGTGGGTTTTTCTGTATTTTGTTTTTTCCTCTTCTTTTTTTTTCCCCTTCCCAATCACTGTTACAACACAATGTAGATCGAAGTTATGAATATCTTTTAATTTGCATAATAAACAATAAAAGAAAGGAAAAGAGAATGATTCCTCTCAAACGAGGAAGAAACTCCACTAGCGAGATACACGCACAACTCGGGTTTTTTCCCCCCTCTCTCTCTCTCTCTCTCTCTCTCTTTCTCTTTTCTACTCTTCTCTTCTCACTCTTTCTCTCTCTCTTACTTTTATTATTCTCTTATTTATCGACGTACGCGCACTTCTCTCGTTCCCCTTTGGCTACGTCGCGAAACGACGACGCGAAACTGAGATACATATGTATTATGTGTATATATATATATATATATATATATATATACACGCACGTATTTACCTCGAGTACGCGCGGCTAACTAAACTCGACCACGCGTGCGGGACGAACTGACGAGCGACGTAGAACGGAGAGAGGGAGAAAGAGAAAAAGAGTAGGAGGGAGAGAAGAGAGAGAGAAAGAGTAAAATGAGCGCAGATATATAAAGAGGAAAAGAGAGAATAAAAGTCAGAGTGAGAAAGAGAGAGATAGAGGGAAAAAGAGAGAAACAAATTTGAAGGAGGAAGAAAGAGAGATAGTATGCTATATACGATCACTCTTACGAGCTTAAATCGAACACGCGTCGACCGGCTCGTCAATGTACACAGCCGGTCGGCACTATCCTTTGACAGATAAATGCTAACTCGCGTCGCGTAACGCTCAAGAGCATCTGTTATTAAGCGACCATTTGCAATAATCGAAGTGATTTGAGCTCTTCGAGAGATCGTCCTCGTCTGATATGTTCTCGAATTCAGAAAATAGAAAGAAAGGGAAAGAGATATCGATGATTATCGATAGTCATCGTCGATTATCGATTCTCGTAGTTATGCGCGCCCTCAGAATTTGGCGCCATTTTTAAACGCAATACTCGTCTATCATTGTAAACAACCCAAGGTTTTGTCTGACGTTTATAAGGAAAATTTTCTAACGTTTTGTTCTATTCTGCTTTTTTATGATAAATTGATTAATTAATAACAGTTTTTTAGTATTGAGATTTGTATAGTATATATTTTATTACTTTGTATTGTACTCAATTACTTATTTCATGGATTTATGAGAATATGTATTAGTATTTGACAAAATATTCTAACGAAAAATATTCTAACCTTATCAATTATCATGAAACGTATAAATACTGAATATAATAGAGAATATTCGATGATGTCGATTCGATCGAATGAATTTTTAGATAAAAAAAAATTAGATATTTTGTCGAAGTAAATCTTCGAACGTTTTTATTTTTAACTTTGTAAGAAATAAAATTATTACAATTGTTAAATTAAAAATATTATATAAGCGTAGGTATTAACATGGCATCAACTGCGCCACATGCGAAAAATGTTGCAATCCGAGATAAAATTAAAGCTAGTTCATAGTTATCTTGTTACACGGTAGATAACGCCAGCATTAACTGTGACGGAAATCGATTATGTTCTATGGTATTTTTAAAATATCATTTCCTCTATCTTTCTATATATATCTCTCTTTCTCTCTTATACTTTTTCTTATCGGAATAAAAAAGATCGGCATAACGTACGAATTAAATTGAAAATGTGCTGTTCCTTTTATAAAATAAATTTCCTTTCCTCAAGGACGCACCTCTACGAAATTGCCGCGCTTTTAAAATTAGCGATTTTGAAAATCCGCATACTTCACTAAAGAACATAGCTGCGAGCGATGACAGCGGCACGTGTCATGGCGAGTAGTAGAGCATTGACATAAGAATAGACAAGTCGAGTCGTCAGATATAATCGTTGAGTATTAAAGAAAAAATTGAGCGAATTATAGAAAATGAAGGAAGAAACAATGCTTAGTTTAAAGTGGCACAGTTTTCACTCTCACTTGGCAGTTTCTTTAGATACATGCTATGAGAAGCAACAGTTTGTGGATCTTTCCTTGGTGTGTAAAGACGGAACAATATTAAAGTGTCATAAGATGGTATTAGCAAATTCAAGTCCTTTCTTTCGACGTTTACTCGTTGCTAACGATCATCCTCATCCAATGATCATACTACATGATATCGAGGCAGATGATCTTAAAACTATTGTCAATTTCATGTATTGCGGAGAGATAAAGGTAGTTAAAAGTGAGGTTAGGAGGTTGCTAAAGTTAGCAGAAATCTTAGAAGTTACTGGTTTGCGACATATTCAGAGATCAATTTTAACGGGAGAACATTACAATACGTCTCAAGAAGTTCCTAAAAAAACAGCTACTATGAATCCTTCTAAAATAGAAGACAGCAGGAATTCTAATAAAAGCGGTCCAAATTCTGACTTCAGGTCAAAAGTTCAAAATAAGAATGCGTCTCAGTCTGCTACATTTGTTTCTTCCTCTCATTCTCATAGTAGTACACTTAAAACTTCACAGGATAGTGTCAAAAGAAACGAGGACGGTAACATTACTGCTTCGAATCAACGATTTGAAAGTAGTAGATCTAACATTAATATAATAGACATTAATGATATACCAAGTACAAGCAAAGGTTTACAAACACCAGTAACTTCGAAAAGAAAAGCATCTGATGATTCTGTTATTAGCTGGCAAAAGATTTTATCTACTATATCAAAGGACAAACAATTACCATTAAAAAGATTATGTATCATGGATGAAGTGGAAATTACTCCTGGTAAACCTTCCTCATCCAAATCTGATGCTAAGAGAGATGAGCCGTTGGACAGGAGGAAATCAATAGATACTATCCATAATAGTACTTCAATGAAATGTGCAGTTTTTATAAAAGATGAGGTAGACGTCTCATCAGAGTTAGAAGAAAATGCAGATATGGATCCTCTTGAAATTGAAGAACTTGAAAGTGAAAATACAGAGAATGTTGTAACACCTAAACGAACGTTCCGTTTGTGGAACGTTGATCGGACTTATAATACACGTAGAATGCTAGATTTTCCACCAAAGAAAGGCTCTAACAGTTAATATGCGGGGCATTAAATTTTGTTCTGTTGAGAGTGATGCTTCTTTAGATAATACAATCTTGCGATTGTAAATTTCTTTAGAAGGATAAATCTTGTTAAAAACTCATCCTCGTTGTGTGATTATAAATAAGGACTAACATTTCCACTTCGTCGCTGTTTTGTTACATTATCTTACTCCCTTCCTAATAAACCAATACATATGGTAGTTTGTTTCTTTTGTTACCCCAGCAAAATCTTTATTAAGCTTTACTATTGATTTATAATTTATGATCATATTCAATTCTAATATAAATAATAAGCAGTATTCTAATCACAGATTTTATAAATTAAAATTCCTCATATAAAATATTATCTCTAAGAATGAAAAGTTACTGAAATGTTGTGTTACCATAGAAACTGTTTCTGTGCTGAACCATAATATATCGCACTAATAGTATATATATATCATATATATATATATATAAATATATATATATGATTATAAAGTGAGTTAAAAATATGGATTCAAAAGAAGTTGAATATAATAATGAACACATAATTGAACGTGAACAAGCAATAGAAAATTTAAGTTCTACTAATAAACTTACCGAAGAAGAGTTTCAGAATTTTATGCACCGTGTTACTGAAATTGGTAGGTTATAATAAGTTTGAAATTAATGTAATTTGACAAAATTTTTATTTAACTTTTAAACTTTTTACACTATAGAAAAAATTGTATCAAAATTATTATCTTCTGATCCTAAAGAACAAGAACTTGGTGAAACATTGGCAGATAAAATTTTAAATGGAAAAATTCAGAAAGAATTTTCTGAACTAGAAGAATTAAAAGTTAAAACTAATCGTACAATCATCAATAAATGTTCCATAAATGAAAATACATCTGATCCAAATAAAATGGGACAAGGTAATAGTTCATATAAAATAAATATTATAATACATTATATCATTCAATATTTGTCTTAAATAATTAGAAGCATTCATGAAGAGTATTGAAAAAGATGCTAATGAACGAGCAGCAGATAGAAAGATAAGAAATGAACGCGCAGAAACGTTAAAAAGGATTGGAAATGGTGCATTTAAAGAAGGAGATTATGAAAAGGCTGTGACATATTTTACCAAAGCAATAGAACAACGTAAAGACTCCACTGTTCTTTGGAACAATAGAGCTTTGTCATACATGAATCTTAAATTATTTGAAAAAGCTTTACATGACTGTGAATGGGCTTTGAAAGTAAGCGATTCGAATTTGAAAGCTTTGTTAAATAGTGCTAAATGTTATAAAAATCTTCGCAATGAAGGAAAATGCAAAGAGTTCATTAAATTAGCAAGAGAAAAAAATCCACATTTCCAAGAATTCATTGATGGTATTATCTACTTTATTATTAATACTTTTTATTTATCTTTTTTTTTTTCTCAGAAAATTTATACATTTTTACAGGATATAAATGTCATTTATTATTGCAGATTTTGAAAAAGATTTAGATACAATAGGCGATGAATAGACGATCGACGATGTCTAAAATACAAGACCATATCTAAATCCTTTTTCTATAATAAGTATAACAGTAATAATTAATCATTGTCTAATTCCAAAATTTTATCATATAATTAAGAAAAAAAGTACTTTGATAAATATTAAAAAACTGAACATTTAATGCAATATTTATGTTTTTATGGTATAAATAAAAATATATAATTAATATCAAAAGTTATCGATTTCTTTAGCATAGTGTTCTTTGATTTCAGAGAGAGATCTTGGTTCATGTAAGAAGACGGTACACTCAATGCCCTGAAATAATATAATATAATTGATTAAAAGTATTACAAATATTTTAAGTACAAATAATAATATACAAATCTAATACCTGCATTCGTGCTGCTCTAACGAAACCTTCATTTGCAGAAACAGTAATACTTTTCATACTTTCGCCACTTGCGAAAACTAATCGCGATCTATCCTTAATTTTTCCACCTAAACTTAATTGTTCTATAATTCTGCCTGTTTGTACATCATCTACAATTTTCACCCGTTTTAATAACTCGTGTGCTCTTAATGTCTCTTTAGGACCACCAATTACATCTATGATATTCATAAAGTTGTCATAAGCAGTTCGACAAATAACAAAGGTTTTTCCTTTAAATAATTTATCTAATATGGGTTTAACAGGTCTTTTTCTTTCCATTTCAGCTTGTTGCGTTAATAATGGTTCCCTGTATATAAAATGATCGAATCCATTTGTCATATTAGAAACATATGCCAGTAACGTTGAAACATCTAAATTCAAAATTTGAATTTCCTCTGTAATTGTTGCTGGACTTAAATTTACCATATCAAGAACAGGATTTTCTTTGAATTCTTCAATTTGTGTCTCTCCATTAAGACGGGAAACCAATAGAGTTTCATCTGTTTCTATCTCATTACTTTCATTTTCATGACTATTTATTCTATCACCTTCCACAACAATACCCATGGATTCCAAGCGTTTTGCTAATACCATTTCTATGCCGTATGCAAAGTAAAATACAATTTCGGGTGACTTGTATAAGTGTGGATGGTGCTTGGCACATTGCAAATAGGATTCTGCTTGATCTAAGACAGATTTTTGACCATATTCACCATTGCCAAGCGAAATCAATGTAAGAGCTCTAGCATTTCTAGCAATAACTTTAACCCAAGATCCTCCGCTTATACAAACGATGTCTACCTCCAATCTTGATCTTTCGTATTTAAAAGGCTTCATTACGCTGATTGGTTCTTTGGAATTAAATAGACGCATTACCATTGCGTCAAGGTGAATCAAATTTGTACTTAGTAGATGTTCTTTTTTTACATTTCCTGTAGATTGTACCTTTATAAAAATACAGAACAATCATGACATAAGAATGTAGCAAATTATTTAAAAAGTTAGAACTTTGAAAACGTATTAAAAAAATACCTTTTTTAAGAATCTTATCTCTTGCTGTATCTTCCGCATAAGTTTATCAACCCCATTAACCTCCTCCATAATCTTCAGTCGATCTATCATATCTTCCCCGTTGCAAATTTTTTCCTTTAGACATTTTAAGAGTTCGATCTTCTCTTCCATCAGCATCTATCGTAAGAGCGAGGCTCCAGCGTACATCGAATATTTGATTAATAACCGGAATTCTTTGAAAATACGATAGTTCACGGTCGACGAGCGTAGTATCGGTGGCCATCTTGGACCGCAGGTCAATATCGCGCAATGTCGTCAGGTCGCTTGTCAAAATCATCTAACCTCACAAATTTTTCATTCCTATAGACGATCATAGTCCGGTGTGTCAATCTATGGACTCGTCACGATAAAGAATTCCCTCCAAAAATTCATGGTGCAAAATGACACGTACTTGAAACGTAAATCTCATGAGTGAAATAAAAAAAAAATCTTATCGATACATTTTTACATATATGGGTGTGTGTGCGTGTGTGTATGTGCGTGTATGTGTCTCTGTGTGTGTGTGTATATATACATATATATCAAAATAAACGCAGAGTAGCGCTGTCAAGCTTCCTTCGACAAAAATAGAAACCGCATCGATATTGGGGCTCGCAAAATGTCTAGCGCGAAGATAATAAAGAATCCAGAAGTACCCGGTGAGTTTTTATTCTCAATTTATTTATTTGGAATGGCACTTAATATTTCACTCTATTCATGCGACGTCTTTCTTACACCTTTCCTTTATCCTTACTTCGTTAGTGTCAACAAATATTCGAGGTTAATGATACATATTATGAACGTCGGAGAAAGGTAGAACTAGCGCTATTATAATTTGTAGGGGTCGTTTGATCTTTGGACGAATAAGATTCGTACATAAGTACTACTTAGTTCCTTTCTTAGTAATTAATTGTAAGTAAAGTGCATCGATAAAAACACATTAACGAAACGAAAAAGAGAGTTGTTTCTTAAACCGATAAAAATATAATTATTATTTTAATATATACACAAATCTTAATCATTCGATCAACGAATTTACTTTTATTAATTCTTTTTATTTACTATAGGCTTTATTAGTAACGCACGACTATCAAAAAAAAGAAATGAGTAAAATTTATAAATAGTTCTCATTCGAATATTTCCCACGTTTCCATAACCGGCTTCCATAATTCTACGAATCAGTTGAAAGCACATGACTTGCTAATATAACATTGTTGTAAATTCATTTCTAATCGCTTTACGAGTATCTTTATTTACCTAAGAAGATATTTGATATGAGCTATATTAGATAATACTAGAATATGTATATATGTACGACGTGCAGTGAATTATCATATACTTCAATTAATTTTCGAAGACGTATAAGATGAGTACGCGCGCGCGCGCGCGCGCCATTATTGTTTGTTTTACTTATAGAAAAACAAAATCCTTCGTGAATTTATAATTACGCCGAATTTATCGATATTAGTTTTCTATTATACCAACGTGTCTTCAAAAGAAAATCAAACTTTTTTCTGGCAGCAATAAATTTGAAATCGCGGTTCTATGATTATTTTTATGAAAAAAAAATGTACATAATCCTTTATCTTTCTTTTTTTGTTTTTAATGCGAAAATTTATTCATTATAATCGTTCGTTCTTCGCGCGGATTTTTTTTTAACACTTTCACGATCAATAACATTTCTTCTTTTATTTTTTCTTTTCTTTATATTCGAAATCATAGTGAAGTATTATTTATTTTATAATACATATCATAATTCATCTATAATCGTACGATTCGGTCATTCGTTAAAAAATTGATAATAGATTATAGATTTGCTTTAATTAGCACATCGATTATTATTTATTTAAATATTTCTATACGATATTGAACATTATATACGTTCACTGTAAAATAATAATAATAATAATAATAATAATAATAATAATAATAATAATAATAATAATAATAATAATAATAATAATAATAATAATAATAATAATAATAATAATAATAATAATAATAACAATAACAATAATAATAATAATAATTTATTTCACGATATACTAATGCTTAAGATATTAATAATAATTTGTTTTATTTTATTATTATCATTAATATATTCGTTAACTTTATCATTTCAATTTTTTTAAATATCATTATTTCAAGAGTTAATTGTTCCTAAAGGAACGTTAGAGCATATTAGAGTAACGTAATATGTATTTCAAAGCCGCGGGTGTAGAAAATCGTGTACGAATAACACTACAGAAGCATTCACGTGAAATAAACAAATTCTTATTTTGAATATAGGAAAACACATCGCAAAGCGATTTCAAAAGCAGTTGGCTAGATCATAGACTACAAAACATGTGGTTGACAAAGGTGCTTTGACAACGTACATATACACATACACGTATATATACGAGCACGCACGCGCGCTCGCGCGCACATACATACACACACCTACATACATACATATATACAAAAGGTAAGTACAATTTGGGAACATTAGAGAATAGAACTAATGGCGGCTGTTCTTTACCTAACGTATGTACATATTCATGTATGTATATGTATGCGGATGTCTGCATATACACATATAGAAAATATATATATGTATATATATACCACTGAACGTGCATTTGTCCCCGCAGTTTGTTCGAAATATGGCTTTCGAGCCAGTGCGTTAGTACGTACTACCAAACAGCGATTATTTCTAAACACGAATATCATTTATCACATCGAATCAACCGTGTCATAGTAATTTGTTTCATGAAAAGATACTTTTCAAGGACATTTTCCGTATCAGTCGTTCTATTCTGAACGAGAATAAAAAAAATAAGAAAAAGTAGAAAAGAACAGAGAAGTTTACGTCATCGAAACACGCACATTGTAAGGATGATAGTAGCTTAACAACATACAAAATTTCCGTAGATAATATATCTTTGCAATGTTATAAATTATAATTAGATATATTCTCGCAATATTTCGAGTGTCTATTTGTATCTATCTTGAATTCGTATATTTTATTGATTTTATTGATTTTATTGATTTTATTATGTTAAAGGGAAACGAGATACATATTTGAAACAAAAAAATAAAAAACAAGAAAATGGTTTTGCCTATCTCACGGTTTTCTTTTTGAAGGGAAACGTATACAATAGTATCGATGCCATCAATATTATTGCCGTCAACGATTATTTTTATTAATCTCATAGTAAGATTATAAAAGGAAGTTTATCGAATTATTATTATTATTATTATTATTATTATTATTATTATTATTATTAATATTATTATTGTTAATATCGATAAAGTCAAGATAAAACGGTGCAAATTCGTTAGTAACGTTATAGAATTCAATAAAAGATCTTAGTACAGTAAATGAAAAAATAAAATCAATTTTTGAATGAAACTTATGTTTATTTTAATACAGACTTCGTTCTTGTTATGCAAGTATCGCGTATGATCGAATCTATGAAACATTTTCAAAATGAAGAATAATATTAACCTTTCACTGCAATTTACTTACGGTAAATACCTCTACGTGCATCCTCCTATTGCATCGTATTTGATCTAAGTATATTTGCAACGTCTTGAATCACTTTGATTTGCTGCTCGAATTATTGAAACTTATTGTATTAATCTGGTTGTTCGAGTATTTAAACTTACAATTAGTCGCTAGAAAATAGAAAAAAAAAAAGAATTATTTATAATTTAAATATTACTACGAAATGATTTTTCATTCGACAGATTCGACAGTTAAATCAACGCGAAACCTTTTAAAGTCAAAGCAAAATAAAAATCATTCGATAAATATAATACCTAAAACGAATTTATTTATTTATTTATAAATACATCATAGATGTACCGAATGAAAATACGATAGTTTAGTTAAGATCACAATATAATATCGTACGAACAAGAAGAGATCAAGAATGCAATTGAAAATAATAACCAATATGATTGTTCTGTTACAATTAGGATTAGAATGCTTCTTACCTCCGCCCCCACCACCCCCACCTCCTATAACTTCATCGACAAACGCCGTGTCGACGACTAGTGGTATACAAAATCAACAACATCGGGAACAACAAAAACCAATAGTAGAAACAACGATAACGACAACAACGTTAACAACGGCTACAACAGAAACGATAACGAGCTCGACAGCGACAAATCCGAATACGATACAAACGGCTCTTCCAAATTTAGCGGTGCCAACTCCGTATATTCTGCACCCTACGATGCAACCGCAAACACCGACACAACAGCCTATACCATGGTGGATTTCTACGGAGGCGGATACCTCGGCAGATATGTATGCGCAATGGTACGATACGTCGTACAAAGCTGGACCAGCTGCTAATACGGTCGTTCAAGTATCGGCGGTCCAGCCATCATCAAAACCGAAGAATAAGTATTATAAGCGTAAGAACGAGTTCATCGATCCTGCCCAAGATGCAGGTGATTAATTAATTTTTTCCATTATTATTATTATTAGGCAGTTTTTATGGAAGGTTTGATTAATTGACAAATTAAACGAATTCACACATCGCACATCTATTGCATTTGTATCTATCAGATATTTATATATCGCAATATATAAAATAAATATTTATGTCGTACGAATAATAACGACGTTTGATTATCGCAAGAGGATTCACGCTTGTCGAATTTGTGAAAATTCATTCGAATCTATCAGATTATATTTTGATCCACGACGAATACGTATCATACATGTCAATGCACGTTATTATCAACTGATCTTTTGCATATAGAAAAAAATTGGAGTAGATTTTTTGATATTATATTTATCTGGTTGACTAGTGCCGCCTATTACGGATACATTTTCGAATAGAATCATTGCAATCGATATGAATATATATATATATATATACTGAGATCAAACCAAAGTTTTCCTGATAAAAACGATAGTATATTTTGTATTATCGTAAAATTGTTCGCGTGAAAACGGCCTTACGCTTGTTTCTTTTTTTTTCTTTTTTCTTTTCTATTTTTTTCTTTTTTTACAAACTTACCTGTACGAATCATTCCACCGAGAAACAAATGTTTACTTTATGCTTTGTTTGTTTATTTGCTTCTCGCTCTCTCAGAAAAAGTTGCCAGTGCCCAGAGGGAGTTGTCAGCGCTGATGAAGCCGCTCAAGTGCGATCTCTGCAACGCGGTGGTAAGATTTCTTTATCTGTTAACTTCCGTGAAATTTGATCCGCGGCTCAATGAGGGCAGTCGGACGAATAAAAACGATAGGACGTTTTCAGATGAACTCTACCCTGCAAGCGAAATTGCATTACGACGGTAAGCCTCATCAAAAGAAGGTTTCCATGTTTTTGAATCAAAGCGTGAAAAAACAGAAGTCGGAAGACGGCCAAGTCAGTAGTACGACCGATTGGCAAAATCGGTGCGACGTAAGCTTTTTCTTTTTTTTTTTGTTCCTTTACAAATCCCCTTGGAAATAATAAACAAATTGATTGATATGATACCGATCGTAATATCAAAATTTGAAATAATTTTAATTTCAGATTTGTAAAACTTGGTTTTCGTCGCAAATCGAAGCGTCACAACATTACGCCGGGAAGAAACATATAAGAGCAGCCCACGGCGGTCCTCGTTCGAGGTATCGAAATGTCCTGACTCGTTTCGATCGATCCTTATCATACAAGAAGTTTGGCCGAGTTCGATCATTACGATATTGAACGTTACAGGCCGAAAAAGTCGCAGAATCAAAATCAGTACAACCACATAGACTCGACTGGTCGATACGGAATAGGCATGGCTTTTCAACAGGACGTGCAAGTGCCAGGAACATCAGCCGTGGTATCTGACGGTAACATCATGGTGTCACCGCAAGGAACCACGACTCCCATTTACACACCCCCAGCATATCCCACTCCGCTTCGATGTGATCTCTGTGGTGTCTCCGCGAATCGCCAGGATCAACTAGAAACACATAAGCGTGGTGCCAGACACATGAGAATGCTTAGACTCAACGGATTACCCATTCCTGAACTACGTACGAGGCATTTCTTTCATTTTGCATTTTTTTTTCTTTCCCTTTCGTTCATAATATCGAAAGAAAGCACGTACATTTATTTCCCTTGTTCTTTTTCCTTTTAGTTTCTGAAAATGAAAACGCTTCGAGTTCATCAGGTCCCATAGATTATTCCATTTACAGAACGCCTTCGGGTAAGTATAATTATCCTGTTAAGTTATCCCAAAGAAAGTCTTGAAAAATTAACACTCTTTATTCTTCCAGGTCAATATTATTGCGCACCGTGTAATCTGTCGTTGAACTCAGAGAGCACGTTCGCTCAGCACGTCGAGAGTAAGAAGCACAAAAACCAATCGAATCCCAAATCGCCATTGAATGCCGCGGTGATATCGAAGAAAGCAAGATTCAAGAAGAAATAAATTAACGTAGAGCGTAATCGTTATTTCTTCGTTTAGACCGTATTTTTCCGTTTATGTTTCATTTTTATTTCGACAGATATCGACAATCGTTATATCGAGGAAGTTCGATGTGCGTCATCGATCTTCTTTTTAACGTGCAAAACGAACATAACAATAAACTTTTGACGTCTGGACGTAAAAGAAGAGAATGCGTTAAATAGCGAAATTTTACGATCGTTTTTTCTTTTTTCTTTTTTTTTTTTCTATCTTAATTAAATGTTCGTGGCGAATCTTCGTATACGTCGGTGATAATGTCTGTGCGGATATTAGGAATTAAACTAAAGACAGTCGTTTGCCGTCGTCTAGGCCGATGATGAGAAAATTAAGTACGTTATGTCGGACGGGTGGGGTGGTACGAAGGGGGTTCCATATTTTAAATGAAATACCGATTAACTTTAAATTAAATTCGCGCTAACTCGAGCGGATACTTAGTCGAGCCGACAGAGTTAGTTACAATTTCTCTCGGAAGTCGCTTGCAAACGATCATCATCGTTTATCAGTATTTATTCGATTACGAAACTATTAACGCGCGGTTCGAGTAAAATGTATTCTCATTCTCGCGTTGAAGAGGATTCGCGAAATCGAATCGTCGTAAGCCATCCGTCGCGTTACGCGCCTCGTTCTCCCAAGCGTACCGTGTCATGGCCTATACGTGAAATTTATGCGTCGCTCGTTCCTCTACCTTCCGTAGAGAATTTATGACCGCTAGCAAACGAGCCTAACATCGAAACCTCTCGGGTCTATTAATTACCTGCTAAGGTAACGCTTATGACGTATCAACCGTTTACCAGTATCTTTTTTACCGTCACTTCCGTACGATGAATATATGATCGAAAGACCGGTAAACATAAATAGAGAATACTACTGTGTCAGACACGACGAATCAGAACCGAATTTACGAGCAGGTAAATTTACGACGAATAAAAGCTCGACTCGCGCGATTCCTGGATATATTCGGAGTGAAACGATACAGCGAAGATCGTCTCGACATTTCTTCCCGAAGTCGCTTTTCTTACTTTTTCTTCTTCTTCTTCTGCTTCTGCTTCTTCTGCATCTTCTTCTTCTTTTTTTTTTTTCTATTCGTCCTGGTCGGTACAAGCGTCGATTTTTCTAAACGAATTCAAAAGAATTCGCTTGGCAATTTGGCGAAGCAAGGGGTTATTTTCTTTCGGAGTTTATTTTTTGTTTTTCCGCCTTTGGCTCTCTTACTCTTCCTTGAGCGACTAAAAGAAAGATAGAAAGAGAGATTAGGATCGTTCTCGCACGAACTTGTAGATTGTTGCTTTATACCTGCGCTTCGGATTTTTATGACCTCCCTGGTTCCACGTTTAGCGTGTTTTCTTCTTTTTATTCCCTTCTTCATCCTCCCACTATATCTTCCCTCTTTCTCTCTCTGTTTGTCTGTCCACGACATCTACAAAAAATCCCTTTTCCATCTTCTCGTCTACCGCGAGCCAGTATCCAGGGGTGCCACTCTTTCTTCCACGTTTTGTTTTCTGACCCGATGCTTTATGAAGCCTAAGAGTATGAGACCGCATTGCGTTACATTGTAGCTTTGAGATTTAAGAGAACTCCTTTCAAAAGAGGAATAGAAGAAAGAGAGAGAGAGAGAGAGAGAGAGAGAGAGAGAGAAAATAAAAAAATGAAAAAAGAAAAAGAAAAATATCGTCGAGAGAAAGTCGTTGTTTTGTATTCGAGTCACCAATACCAATATCATCTACATCATCGTTTCTCAGCGATCTTTGGGCGTAAATTATTGTGGAATACATAAAAAGGTCACGAATATATATAAGCATAGGATGCTTATGGTCGTAGAATTCTACGAATGAGACGACGGGATGGAAAACACGCGAATAAATGTAAAACGTTTTACGACAATTTTCTTCCCCCACCCCTCCCCCTATTTTAATGTCTTATATTGGACAAGACAAAAAGTGAGATAAATGAGAAGATATTAATTAAAGACCCACATTGATTACGTTTCCGCGATGAAATCGATGTCTCGTATGCGTAACCAAGCGATGTTAATTCGGGAACGTCTAGAAAGAATGAGCAAGATAGATAGATAGATAGATAAAGAGAAAGAGAAAGAAACAGAAAGGCAACTCAACAAAAAAGATTGCTCTCAATCTGTCACGCGGTGGATAGTAATGCGCGTAAAAAGCCATTAATCGGAGCGGCAAGGTTCGCTTCGAATATCGGTGGAATTCGTAGTCAATGACTGGAGAGAATTTCTCAAGAGTAAGATCAGGAGGAGGAGGAGGAAGAGGGAAAAGGAAAGGATGGAGATTTTGAGGAGGCTGCTAGTCGACTCGTTTCCACCTGCGAGAAGACGATGCCGTGACGAAAAAATCAATCGATTCCTCTCTCCTCTTTCTCCCCCCCCTCTCCCTCCCTCTCTTTCCCTCTCTTTCTACTTTACAATGATGAACCCATATCCAAGGTTTCTCTTGATCGTTTCTTATAAAAATCACAAAAAACATTCTAAAGTCCGTGCATCCAAAAGGATCATCGTAAAGAAGATCTTCTTCTTTGGCATTTACTTAAGTATTCTATTAAGAAAATCTGGTTCATGATCAATACATGCGATCTATGTATATACTTTAACTTGTTCTGGATACGCGATACCGATGAGCGATTGGTTCCGATTTGTGGACTAATAATGATTATCGATTTACCGTTTAATCCAATGATCTTGTTTCTTCTTTCGTTTTTCATCGAATCGCACCCGGAAACGTTTAAGAGCATCCGCTTTTAATCAATTAGAAGAGAATGTTTCGAATGATACATTTCCCGTGATCATGTTCATGATCCTGTTTTTAAAACATGACGTTTATAAAAAAAGACGTTTTTTAATTATTGTTATTTTAATACTTCGTAGTTTCAAGATTTGTCTGTAATTTCAGGCCATCCATTATTAATTATATAATATTTAAGATATAGTAATTTTTTAAAAAAAGAAAATTAAAACGAGTGATGATTAGACTTTTTAATGTTTCATTATTTTTTTTTTTATATATATTTATATAACTCAATAATCGATGAATCAATTTTTAATTCTTTGACAATTAATATTACCACGGATTTACATATTATACATATTCGAGAAATTGCAATTATTTAATAAAGAAAATTAGAAAGAGCGAACCTTTTAATGGATTCGTATATGACTAGATATAAAACTAGCAATGAAGAGAAAAGAAATAAAGAAAAAAAAAAAGAGAGAGAGAGAGAGAGAAATCGTATTGTGGAATCAAAACGAGCTCAAGCAGAAGTCACTAAAATAGGTACTCACAAGCTCAAACGAATCATTATGGTTTTCGTTTGGTCGTTCGCGAACGCGAGCGAGAGAGCGCGCGAGCGCTCGCTTCTAATTTCGCTAACAAACGACTAACCGAGTTAGCGCGGGAACGTTATAAACGGGTATAAAACGGGGGAACGAACAGCGGCAGCGGCCTCTTTTGTCTCGTGAATTCCATTGTCCTGAGGAGAGAGAGAGAGAGAAAGGGAGAGAGAGAGAGAGAGAGAGAGAGAGAGAGGGAAAGGAAGATAGAGAGATAGAACAGAAAAGACAAAGTTCGTTCGAAATAGCAGCACACAACGGGTTTGTTTTTCTTCTTTCTTTTCTTCATTTCTTTTTTCTTTTTTTTTTTCTTCTTTTTTTTTTTCTTTTTATACGCCGACGAGCAGTACTCTCGACAAATTCGTACAATTATTTCTCGATTAGAGCGAATCGACGTGCCGAAGATGAGATTAGCTCGGCCAGTTGTATCAACGAACAAAAGAAAGAAAGAAAGAAAGAGAAAGAAAGAGAGAATGAGAGAGAGAGAGAGAGAGAGAGAGAGAGAGAGAGAGAAACCGCGTAAGCCCTCGTGTTCTGCGAGCCAGCTAATTGCGGAAGTTTCCTGGACAATTTCGGTATTAATAAAGTTTTTTACGCCTCATCTCGACAAGAGAACGAGCGAAGGTAGAGAGAAATAGAGAAATAGAGAGAGAGAGAGAGAGAGAGAGAGAGAGAGAGAGAAGTAAAAAAAACCTTCTCTTGATTTCGTCTGATATTGTCGCCGTTTTTGTGAAGACTTCCCGAAAAAACACGGACTGTTTAGTTTTAAGCCACGCCGAGCGGAAATATTATTATCTCGTATATACGAGCCTATATACAGACATATATATATGCATACATCATGCGACATAGCACAGTAGATACACGGAACACATAAGTATTTGAATACACACGTGCCTTTTCTTTCTTTCCTTTGATCCTTTAATTCCCACCCGAATGGAATGACATTCTGTAATTCTTTTTTCTTTTTTTTTTCGTTCGACCCTTCAAACATTGTCCTTACCACACGGCTAATCTAAAGTAGGTACTTCAATTATTCGAACAAAAAGACTATACTTTATCTTGGCGAACGATCAAATTGAAGCAAGGAATAAGGTACGTACTAACATATATATCTCATACAAAGTTACATGGCTACAAGAAAAGTGGCAATATGTATGCAGATATATACGTTTTACCTGCATCGTGGTAGGGCTAAACGTATGTTGTACAAGAAATACTTATGCTCGTAATAACTCCTCCCTTCGTAATCGACGAAACGTAATTACACATACTATACATTGAAAGGGTAGGAGGGAGTATGTTTGCTAATGGAATTTCGATTCATTTTGGACCTCCCGAAAATTTTAAATGTTGAAAAAAATAGCAGACTACATATCTCTATATATGTGTATGTACCATCCATGTAGATATATATATATATATATATATATATATATATGCCTATTTATGTATATATATAAGCATATTTATATATATCTATATATTTACATACTCTGTATAGAAAGAGGAAGAGTGAGAGAAAGAAAGAAAGGAGAGAAAAAGAGATAGAGAGACAGAGAAAAACGGGAATTATCAAGTATTATTAAATGTCAATATATCATCTAGAATGATATCGATTTCCGTAAAAATTCTTTTTCTTCTTCTTCTTCAACTTCTTCGTCGATAAAAATTTTGAAAACGGACAAGGAAAGAAATCAAATTCTCGAAATTACTCGTCGTTTCTCTCAATCCTTTAGAAATACCGCAACGGAAGGAAGGAGTTTTTATCAATGGTACTGATTCCACTTGACTCGGCTAGGGGTACGGAAGAGAAGGAAGATCAGAGAGAATAAAAAGCGATCGAGAGGAGACGCATTTCGAAGTCATGGGTGGAAAAGAGAGAGAGAGAGAAAGACAGAGAGGCTGACCTTGCAGGTCTCTACGGGGCCACCAATGTAGACTGACGAGAAAAGAAAAAATCGTGCTGCTCCTAAATGCGGGCGGTGTGATGTCATGCGGAAATAGCCGTCCGACGCGACGGTGCCGTGTCGGCGTGCGAAGGAAGAAGAAAGAGAGAGAGAGAGAGAGAGAGAGAGAGAGAGAGAGAGAGAGAGATTAAGAGTGAAAGAGTAAAAGAGTTGCCGGGAGACGCCGGAGGAGAATCTCGATCGCACGACTCGGCCGATTACCTCCTCTCCGTAAGCTGAGAGTGAACGAATGAGTGAGTGAGTGAGTGAGAGAAAAAGAAAGAGAGAGAAAGATAGAAAAGATCTCGAAAGACACCTTATTTTCTAACAACTAATCACTCAACGACCAGTTTCATCTCCTATTTATGCAACCCCACGATAGCGATTAGTCGCATCATCCATGATTTTTCCGACCTAACCGTTCCAATTACTTACTAAATTTATTGTTTCCGCTGAGGACGAGCCGATGTATCGGTAATGAGGCTCGGAGATCGCAGGAGTCATGTTACTGCAATCATCTTTAACTTACGTTAAATTTAAGAAATTCTGTATTTTTTTTCCCCCTCAATGTTCCTCAAAAGATTTTATCTTCGTTTGACTCGCGTGATGAATATCATCAAAGGGTGCGCAGTTCGAACGTTGACGTTCTTTTTCTTTCTCTTTCTTTTTTTCTTTTATGCTTCCTTTTCTTTTGCTTTTTCCTTTTTTTTTTTTTTATACTTCTTTTCAGTGAAAATGAATATTACAATTTGTATGAGGTAAGTATACATGGGTTGGATAAAGATTTGTTTCTTTTAATACTTGAGAAACGAAATGCCGTTTATTGCATACGGGCGTACTTATATCGCGATACAAAACTCGGTGTGTCTTTTAATGTATTCGAAAGAGAAAGTAGCGACGCGTGTGTTCCACAGGATCCATCCTCGTCCATGAACATTCCAATGTTTATAAAGATCATCCGCCATAAATGTGAATGTGGGAAGATACGATCTTTAGGCGAGAAAAGGAAATTAAAGGAAAATTGGACGCGTGGACGCAAGATGGTAACGTAATTCATTCACGTAGCCGTAATGTACATCAATATATTTCGCTTTAAATCATTTATAATCCATCTGTCAAATATAATTCTTTTATAAAATTGACAAATTAATTTGCTTTATATCTCGTCATTTTAATTATTTGCAAAACATTTCATAATTTCGAAATATTTTGCGTTTTATAAATTAAGTTATTTTCTTTGAATATCGACGATCTTACATACCTGCAGGTATCTTGTAAAATATACAAATGAACCGTTCGAAAGAGGAAGAGGATCTTCCTTTTGCAATTTATATCGAAGCCGAGTCGATCGGAAAAATGATAGCTTATCGTAGCTTATCTCTTCTCAGCTTCTGCTTGTCCACTAGTCACTTAATAATCATAATCCGATTTCATGGCGATGATGTGTGCGTGTAATTTGCGTAAAGATTAATAAATTCACTCAACAAAATTTCCCGGACTTTCGAAAATGTAATATAATATTTTAAACAAATTCGATAAAAATATTATTGACTTTTCCAAAAGGTTCGTTGACTTGTCGAGTATTCGCTGTACGCTTGTCTAGTACATAGTACGTGAGACACGATCTCTCTGTTGGTTTGATCGAACCTTTATGAAAACTGTAAAATAACTTATTTAATACGTTTCATCGCATTAACCTTTAAATACGCTAAGTTAATGGATATTTATGAGTTGTAACGAAACGACCGAACGAAATGGCGCGACTCCATTTGTTTTAAATATTTTATATCGCTCGTAAAATCTTTATTTAATGTTACGAAACGATCGAAAATATGTATCGATATCGACATTATATCTTTAGCGTAAAAAGAAAAAAAAAAGAAAAGAAAGGAAAAATAAATAATTTCATTACGTTTCATTTTTCGATTAATACGATTAACGTGATAAAAGCGTTCTGTCGCGACGGTTTATCGATCAATTTGATCGACTATCGTTCCGTTAAAACAATGAAGGGGGTTGCGATCGTCGTTGGAAAATCATCTGTCACATCGATAAAAATTTCTTCTTTTCCTTTTTTCGCATAGAAGCAAATTTTATTACGTATCATGTCACAATATATTTTTCATTATTTTTAATTAATTACATAAATTGTTAACGAAGATCGAAACTATTCACAATGTGCAACAGTAAAATTATTAACAAAATCGTAAACATTTTTCCATTGAGTTTTTATAAAAATTGTGAAGTTTACTAACAACTAGTGCATAAAGTTAAGATCTTAATTAAAAGAAATATAGTCTTCGGTCAGTAGCAATTTATAGATAGGTGATATCGTCGTAGATTCAAAAAAATAATCGTTAGATATAGACAGCAAAAAACAGAGAGAAAGGAGAGAGAGAGAGAGTTGTTCTTCGTAAGAACGGCACGCCGCGGGCGAAAGTCACCAGGAATTCAAGTCCGATAGGTTCGTCGGTAGAATCAAGAGAAAGAGAAAGAGAGAAAGAGAGAGCGAGAGAGAGAGAGAGAAAGAACAAGGTAGACAGATATAGAGAGAAAGAAAGAGAAAGATAAAGAAAGAGATAGTGAAAGAGAAAGAGAGAAAGAGAGAGAGAGAGAGAGAGAGAGAGCGAGAAAGAAAGAGAGAGAACGATGTCACGCCGGTGCGCGGTGGCGCGCATGCGCGCGACTTATACTTGACGAGCTCAAAAAATCAATGAACTCGCGGCACGAGTTTGGACGAGAAGAAGATCGTTTATCGAAAATAGAGAAAAGATTGTGAAAAAGAAAGAGGAAAATCTTTTAAATGTAGGAATAACAATACAAATTTTTTTTTTTCAAACGAAAAACTAATGAAAAATATAAATTACAATCACCGAAGATTGAGGAAAAATCGTCGTCGGCATTTGTCGGATAGACGCATCGTGTGCGATCAGAGAAGAGCGCGGCTGAACGAACGATCTTTCTGTAGAAGAGAAGGAGAAGAGGTGAAGAAGTAGGGATAGGTATAGGGAGTGTATGAGAAAGAGAGAGAGAAAAAGTGAGAGAGAGAGAGAGAACTATAGGAAAATGGTGGACGAGTGGGAAGAGAGGGTGCAGCCCGGGTGGCGGCGCTAGCGTAAGATGGCCGAATAGCGGTACGGCGGATAGCAGCCGGGCGACCTCTTCGTTCGGCGCTACATTGCTTCGGTGCTACATTCGGCTGGTGGTGCATTCGTTCGTTCGGTTCCGCCGTCGCCGTCGTCGGCCGCCGCTACCACCGTCGCTGTCGCACGAGTTCGTCTCGGTTCGGCTTTACTCGGCGCTTCAGTTCGTGTTCTCTCGCTGCGCACGACGGACGTGTCTCTCGGTGATCGCGCAGAGAACGTATCTTTTATATATATATGTAGATACATATATGCATAGGGACATATATATATACACACATACACACACACACACGCACACACACATAGACTGTTTGCGATTCTCTCGGACTACCACCATCGAGTTATTATTCTCGTTAAATACAGAGAGAGGGAGAGAGAGAAAGAGAGAGAGAAAGAGGGGAATTCCAGAGACAAGTCAAAACATAGAGACGACACGGAAGAAAAAGAAAGAAAAGAAATAAGTATATAGACAACGATTTAATTCGCGAAGAAACGAACCGAGTATCGTGCCGAGAAAGGTCGTTTCTTCATATATACATATATATGTAGAGAGAGAGAGAGAGAGAGAAAAGTACAATAAGAGATGTAATAGAAAGGAGAAAACGAAGAATCGAAGAACGAAGAAGGTTTTCGTCGGATCACGACGGCTTATTCTCTAAGCGTCCTTTTCGGGTGAAACCGTGATGACCAAGTGTTAAAAGTGAACGAAGGTGAAGATTCCAAGTGTGCGATTTTAGAAGGGTGCCGATCTCACGCGCGTGTCCACCTTTCTATCTCTATCTACCTCTATCTTTATCTCCTTCTTCATCCCCAAACTCCTCACTGCTCCTGCCGCCCACCTCTTCGCCCTCCTTCCCTCCCCCCATTTCTCTCGCGTTAACCGCGAGTGCCGCGAGTTAAAATGGCGCTCGGCTTCGTCCGCAAGAGCGCTTTTCCGTTCAACAGCATTGCTACAAAGCAATCTTGTGGCTCGTTGTCATCGTCGTCGTCATCGTCGTCGTCATTCTCGTCATCATTATTCTCATTGTCATCGTTGTCCTCGTCATCGTCATTATCATTGCCGTTGTTCTTTCTTAGTGCCGCGTTCTCTCTCTGAACTCGTTGCGTTTTTTCCAATCCTTAGCGAGTGCAAAGAAGAAGAGGAAGAAGTAGAAGAAGAAGAAGAAGAGAAGGAAGAAGAAGAAGAAGAAGAAGACGACGACGACGGAGAGAAACCTTTCTCCTCGACTCGTCCTTTTGCTCTCCGCGCGCCACCACATCCCGCGTCCTCCTGCACCTCCTCCTCTTCGTTCTACTCCTCTCTCTCTTTCTCTTTCTCTCTCTTTTCTTTTTCCTCTCCTTTCCTCTCCTCTCAACTCCTCTTCTCCTCTCTACGGGCCGCGCGCCCCGTCGGAGCCAGCCGGCTCGGGCGGCATTCCGCGAATCGCGAACCCGACCGCCTGTCCTCGCGGCAGAGCCCGAGAAAACGACTTTGCTTCGTCGTACGTTTCGTACGTCCGTTCCTTCGAACTCACCGTAGACACGACTAAGCCAGGCTCCCTCTCTCTCTTCTTCTTCTCCTCCTTTTCTTCTTTCTCCTCCTTCTCTTCTTCCTTCACTGGTGCTTTTTTCTTTCCTCCCTTTCCCCATCGTTCTTGTTTTTCTTCCTTATTTTATTTTATTTCATTTTTCTGTATCTCTCTCTATTTCTCTCTCTCTCTCTCTTTATATATCTCTTTCTATCTTCCTGTCTTCCTTCCCTCCCCTCTCTCTCTCTATCTCTTTCTTACCTCTCTTCTTATTTCTCCTACTGACAAACCCGTCAGACAAAACGTGGAATATCATCCGTCCCGCTAACCTTCAGGATCTAGACGTGGCCGAAAACAAGAAGCCATCTCTCCTCGAGTATTTCTTACAGGTGAGTTAAGTTTTTTAGTTTTTTTCGATCGATAACGTGCGAGCGTGTGTACATGTATGATTTTTTGTATGTAGGGTATTTCTTTATTATTATTATTTTTTGGCGAAAATTTTTTCTATCCCTTTTCATCTTTCTCTTCGTCATTATTTCTTGTTGTTTCTTGTCTACTTTTTTATTTTATTATTATTATTATTATTATTATTATTATTATTATTATTATTATTATTATTATTATTATCATTTTTTTTTTTTTTATTTTTTATTACTTTGGGTACGAATCTGGTTCTAGGAAACATATTTAGTGTCAGTAAACTCGTGTTTTCTTGACTGTCATCATAACCATGCGAAAATCGTAATCGCTTCTCTCTCTCTCTTTCTCTTTCTCTTTCTCTCTTTCTTTCTTTCTTTCTTTCTTTCTTTCTTTCTTTCCAGCGTACTTCTTACCGACCGAACGCGAAATTAATCCCCCTCTTATGAGTACGCTCTAGGGAAAAACCGGTTTAGTTCCCCTGGTTAAGGGACTTATGTTAGTCGAATTCGTAACTCCTATCTCTGCATGTGCATATATATATATATATATATATATATATATATATATATATATATATATATATATATATGTATATATATATATATTGGATCGATGGAAAAATAATTGCGGTTTTTATTATTTTAAATTTGGCACCAGTTTTAATTACTCCTTACTCGGTTAACGATGGAATAGGCACGACTGATATTTTTCTTGTATCATCGTTTTCATCGTTTAGTATTATAGAATTTAAGCTCTTAAATTGATCATGGGGGAAGAGCAAATTCGTGGGATTTTATTTGTATGAGTTTCAATTGGAACGTAAAGTAACAGGAGCAGTAACAGCAGCAGCAGAAACTACTCAAATTATCAACCTTGGTTTTGACCAAGAGATAATTAGCGAACATATAGCTCTTGAAATCAAACATCGGTTTCAAAAATTTCCTGATGTAAACGAATTCTTTGTGTGGAGGGTCGTTGATGTTCTTGTACTATTGGAAATAATGATTTAAATCAATTACTGAAACGGATTTACTTTAAATAAATTGAGAGATTGAAGAAGAATCCAAAGATGAACGTTAAATATTTTAACATTTAAATTATATACGTATCTAAATTCGGTACTTATAAATCACAATTATTTTCATGTATATGCATAAATAGAGAGAATTGTTCGATCTCGTCTATTAAAATTCGACTCTTCATTAAAAAAAGTAATTCTTTTCAATAATGAAAGTTTTTCGGACATTTCATTTATTCATAGATGGGAAAAGTAAACTTACAAAGAAGAGAGCAAACGATTTTCTTCCTTCGAAAAAGAAAGTGATATTGTCTTTCCAAGCGTTTTTTTTTTTTTCTTTTTCTTTTTACAAAATCTAAAATGACTTTTTAAAACTAACGGACGTTATATTCCTTGGTAATCTATCGTTACGGCTACTTAATATATATCAAAATACGATGTAATAATCTTCTGTTCTTTTAAAAGTCCCCATAGGAATTAACTAAATTGCATCGTTGAGTTCAGATAATATATCGCAGCTCGTAAAGTTATATACAATACATCTAGATGATACGCGAGAAACACCTAAAATCGACGAACCATAGTGATATCTCTGCTTCAATTCGCAATTTATGCTATATATCGAAGGATTTACGATACACTCGAATCATATTGTCAGAGTTTGATAGATCCTCGACGACAAAGTTACGATGTGTCAGTATCATACGCGATACATACATGTATGTATATATATATGTATATATATATGTGTATGTATGTGTGTACGCATGTATATATAGTGGAATAGGGTGAAATAGCGATTTGTTATCGAGAAACGATCTCCCAATGATTGTATCATCGATGACTTTTATACGTTCGTACGTCGATATATTTAGAAAATGTTTCAGAATAATTCCGGTCAAATTTTATTACGCATACACACACACAAGTATTATAAGAATAGATATTAATAAGGAAAGAAAATATATTGATTCAGATTGTTCGAAACTTTATTAAAAAGTTCTCATCATACAATATTTTTTTTATCGATATTAGCTTGTTATCAAAGGAAATGATTTAGCGAGATTTAAAAACGGTATGACATATGTCAAGTGATTATACGTTCGATTTTATAACTCGTTCGTTATATTGAAATATTAGAAACAATTCAATTATCGTTTCCTTCGTATTTCGTAGTTTTTTTTTTATTTATTTATTTATTTTTTTTTTTTTTTTTTTTTCCGTTAGATGTTTAATTTTCCGACATGCTTTCTTTCTTATTTTCTACTTATTTGTATAAGGACGATTGAGTATAAGAAAATGTAATTATATTTGATATCGTCGATATCGCATTGATTTCTTTCGTTAATGTAAATATTTTTGTTTAGATACGATATATATACCCGCGCATGTGCATTAGAAATTCGCTTTTGATTGATAAGGAAAGAGCAACATTTCGATAACCCTAAGAATCGCAATGAACGCAGAGTTTTGTTCGAGTCAACCGATCAATGGACATGCGTTTCTCATCGTTTCAGTTTGACGAGAGTGATTCTCTGTAATGCTGTATCGTAATTAGCGGATTCAATGGGGAATTTCTTCAGCCCTTCTCATTTATAACGTATAGTTATATTCCTATTTGGATATCGTATCGAGAAATATTGTAAAAATATATAGAATATTTTTTTCGTTGTCCTAGTTTCGACGTTCTCCCAATAAATCTACCAATATTTCAGTAAAAAAAATGATATCATGAGTATTTTTTTTCTTTTTTTTTCTTTTTGTTTTCGTTTCTTTTTTTTTTTCGTTCTTCCATATAGTATTCATTTCGAACAATGGTTTTACGAGTTATATTCGAAGAATTGGATAAATCCTTATAACTTTATATATATATATATATATATATATATATATATATGTATATAAATGGGTACGTTTAAACAACGAACAAATTTTTGTTAATAGATATTGTCTGTGATTAAATATTTTTTTAACTATGATTTAACTATGATTTAAACATATATGTAGATGTTGTTTACGTACATATATATATAGTATAAAAAATACGAGAAAAAATTCTGTAATTTATTTATCCGTCGACTTTTTTTCTTCATTTTTTTTCCCTGCCTCTCTTTATTTTCTTCAACTCAAAGCACGTTTACTTTCGCTCTATCGAAATTTCTTTTTGTTACTAGTCTAGTGACACGATACTCGCCGAAAACATATGGCATTTCTCTAACTTAAACGGTCGATCGGTCACTGTCAAGACGACGCCTGGCATAGTCGTTGACGTCACGCCCGATCGTGAACAAATCGTTCCGTCGATGTCGCAAAACGTTTAAAAGAAGAAGGTCTACGTTTTCTGAATACCACGAACATAAACGTTCAACTAATTTTTGCGAATCTATTTGTTTGTCCTTAAAAAAAGAAGAAGAAAAGAAAACAAATAATATATCGTACAAGAAATAATACAATAAACATATTGGTATTTGTTCTTTTAATTAAATCAAGTTTTTCATGATACGGGACTTGATTCTTTTTTTTTTTCTTTCTTTTTTAGTTTTGTTTTGTAATCAAACATTTTTCAAGTCAACTATTAAAGTTTGCAAATGTTTCATATTTACGGGATGATTTTTCTTTGAAATTTCTTTCACGAGAATTGCCTCACGAAAAATGCGAAATGTACTCGCATCAGCGTTATACAGGACGAATATGAGAGCGATTCAGAGCCGAGAGGAGCGCGGCTCTTTCGTTAAAACGCGGTCCATATTTCGGATTCCCTGCCGTCGACAAAAATCAGTTTTGTCTTGCCTCGCATGGGCGAAATTTATTTTGCGCGGGAATTACAGGCTCTCGATTCGATGGAGGAAATAAATTTTCCCAGTACCACTATTTTCTCGTTTCTACAAAATATGATTGGGTCGATATTCGCGTGCGTGCGTTATGTGCGTGCGTGCGTGCATGCGTGCATGCGTTCATTACGTGCAGTGTGCATGCGTCCGTGCATCTATAACTCTCGAAAATATTCGCATACTTACAATTAGTAAATTGGCAGTACGATTAAAGCCACTTTGCAAAACGAACAATTTTTTTTATCTCTCTTTCTCTGTCTCCCTATTTTCTTTTTTTTTTTTTATTTTCCATTCGTGTTCGTTCCAACTAAAAAGTCAGGATTTATCAAACAACTAGAGAAAATGATGTATATGTCGCTGATCGTTGTAAAATTTATTCGTAATAAAACAGGGAAGAACAATCGTGCGATTAAGACTCACTGCCATTTCCGTTATCTCTTGTTGTTGTGAATTTTGTTATAAGGCTTAGAACACGTTATCTCAGAAATCGTATTTACCGAAATTCCTAGACCTTGATCCTTGTCGACCCTGCAAGGAGATACGTCCCTTTATCGTTAAGCAAACGTGTGACAGGTGTTGTTTGTACGTTATCTCGTTAATATTGAGCAATATATCGAAGAAAACAGTGATATATACATATATTATTTAATACATCTTCACAAAGTTAGGGACGAACAATCTTTCAAATATAATTTATATAAGTATATATTAGGATATGTAGAAGAGAAAAAAAAAGAAAGAAAAAACAAGAAAAGTAAGAAGAAGAAAAACCAAGAAAAGTCGAAGGTGAGAAGAGACAGGAGAATGTCGTGTTCCCGATGGAAAACGTTCTAGGATCTTGTTCTAGGTTTAGTGTGCGCGCGCGCGAGCTGGCACACGTATGAGTACAAGGAATGAGAGTTCGTAGATGAGCCGCTGGTGTTTGAACTTGGCTCTTCGTGCAAATATTTTGCGCGGGTAAACACTCCCAATGACGGATCATATCCCCTTGTCGTCGTTGTCGTTGTCGTTGTCGTTGTCATCATCGTCGTCGTCGTAGTTGCATAGTTGGTAGAAACATCAAGGCGGCCATGTCGACAACGGGATTTTCTTCGTTCGTGAAGTTTGCGCGTAATCCTCA